TCTCCCTGGAGTTCTACTAGTCCACATGTCACTGAACTGAATGATCATAGTCTTTCCCCCATTGTTATTTTCAGCTGAGGTCCTGGGAGTGGGGGCAATACAGGTGGCAGAGGTTGATGTCAAATCATGCTGGACCCCTTGCCCCCTGACACTGTTAGTCTTCTGTAGACAATAAAGCTTGTTTAACCATCTGTTGAGTTTGGATGGCTTTTTCTGCCAGATCCTCCCATGAGATTTGGGCATTTATTTTTCTAGTGTCCAGGTTTTAGCACAAACACATCAGTCCTTGCTTAAGACTCTCATCTCTTTCAGGGGTCCCATAGTCTTACCTCTAGTGGTTTTTTAAGAAGACAGTTATGGCCAGAGACTTCTCATGCTCTCAGCTGATGTCCACCAGTTGGGATGGATTCATGCCAATTGCCCTGTTGATTTTCTGCCATTTCTTTCTAATATCCAGGGTGTTTTGGGAGATAAAAATCATGTTACCCATTCAGATATTTGCTGAGTTCTCTCAGGATCAAGGTCTGTGTACTTACAGTAAGCCTGGTAGATTCATTTAAAGTATTCAGAGGGTCCTCAGTTGGCTTCTGTTGAACTGCATGTACCATGTTCAAGTTCTTTTGTTTAGCAACTCCCCCTTTCAGACCTCTGAGAATGCACCTTTTATAGTGCTCCAATCATGCCAGGCCCATTTAGATTTTAATTTGTGTCAGCTAGAGGAATTGCCTTGACTGGGACAAGGGTCCCACTCAGGTTTTTCTCCATAGATGCATGCTGTTTTGTCCCATGCCTTATCTCAGACCAGCCTTTTTTCATCACTGGTCAGGAGCATTGTCAACAGAGCCTGAATATCTGCCCAATTAGGATGATGGGTAGCAAAAATAGTGGCTATTAAATTTGTTATTCTGGTTGGGTCATCCTGGTGTGGCACTTTGGGTCAATGCGTTGGACCACCAAGTCTGTCCAAACCGCAAGGTCAGCGGTTCAAGCCCACCAGCTGCTCCTCAGAAAACTCCCACAGGGTCACCATGAGTCAGAACTGACTCAACAGCAGTGAACAACAACATCTCAATAAGACGGATTTGAATTTGTCCTACTTAACAAGTCCAAGATAGACAAAGAAGTATGTGTCCAGTAATATCCTTTGGCTTGCCCTTCCATATTCAATTATATGGGCATCTGCAGAGGGGGTATTGCCTTGCATCTGTTCCGGGTAGCCCTCTACTGAAATGGGTCCCTTGAAAGGTATGGTAAAGAGAAATCACTTCCAAACTGCTTTCCTTAGTGGTTGAATATGGCTGGGCAGGTTCACTAGGTCAAGTTATACTTTCCCCTAGTGGCAGCTGCTGGCATACCAAGAGTTGTAATAAGACAATATTGCAATCAAAAGCTATAGTTCACAAAAAAGTAACCATTCATATATCTTTGTCTATTCACATATAGGCCTGCTTAGAACTGTTTTCACCTAATACTCATCTGTATTCATTTTTCTCTGCATAGCTTTTATATTAGCAGTAGAAATGTATTATAGTACTTATGCGTGATATAACGTACATAGTCTTGGAATTCCAGGTTGTTTCACTTTCCTAAACGTAAATACAGGGCAGAAACATAGTAATTTTACAAACAAAGAGATAATCTGACACAGTGGTTTAACAATTCAAACTGTAAGATGGTATAATAATTTTAAGGATCCATTCAAAGGTTATTTTTCCCATCATCTAGATCATACATTGGCCAAGCTGTATTATAGTAAAACACCATTTCCTTTGATGTCATAGGAAGATACCCATATAGAAACCAATTAGAATTATGCCTTACAGAACTTTTCTTTCAGAGTGATGCCTATATTTTTATTTTAGATATAGATGTTAACCTTAACAGAAACAGAAGGGGCACTTTTAGAAAATTATTCCCTGTCTACCATGCCCCGATGTCCCCACCCAGAATAAAGCAGAGGGGATCTCAAAGTGAAGGCGGAGGTGACTGCAGGAGACACAGGGCTGAAGAATCCCATGAAAAGATTCTTGGCAGCGCTGCTTGGAATGTTTGGTTACTGTGCTCCTGGGCTCACTTGTCCAAGCGGCCAGTGGGCCACTCATGGCGGTGCGTTCACAACAGACAGATCACGTCCAGACTTTGCTTTTCCTCTTGCGAGGATTTTCAAGTGTCTCAGCTTTGTAGAGTTTTGAACCAGGAGTCCATTCTGCACCAGCAGTGAGGATAGTCTCCCTAAACCGTATGAAATTCGCTACCAGCCTAGTGCCAGACAACTCACTCTCGCCACACACTCCTGCACACAATACCTCACTTTAAAAAAAAAAAAAAAAATTCAATAACATGCATTCTAAGACTTTTGGCTCATTATGAGTTCCCATATCATTTAAGTATTACATGGCTGGAGCCGCATGGAACCATACCAACCGGGCATGACAAGCTGTACTTCAGCTACTTGCACTCAACGAATCATACAGAGTTTATGGCTGTTCCTCCCCCCACCCCCAACCTTAGGGGAGTTCCTGACTGAGGCCTCTAGGTGAGACCTTGGAAGGGGATTAGCCTTCCACTTCTGTCCTTAGGGACCGGCCTGACTGTGTTTAATCTGGGCCTCAGGGCTTTATGTGTTTTAGAAGTCCTAGTCCGTTCTTTGGTTCAACCTCTCCTTTCAAGTCCGGTTGGGAGAAGTAGGTGCAACAGCTGGCTGCCCCCACTCAGAGGAGGAAGAACAGTCAAATGTGATGGTGGCACACCATCTCATCCGCCAAGGAGAGCTTGCCATCAGCCACTCCCGGATTCCAATCCAGTGCCTCAAGGGGCCAGCACTACCATATGTTACAGCAGTTTTTGATTCGAGAGTGTCACAGCAGCTCTTGATCCGTCAAAGAAACTGTGCCCACTCGGAGAGGTGAAGCAGAGTTTCAGATTTCATCAAGTCGCCTGGCTCAGAGAAGCTAGATTCTCCAGATTCTGAGTGCCAAATGCCGGGCAGTGTAGACTTACACGGGGTCAGAATCAGGGTGGGGTTAGGTTGTGGACCTGTTTTAAGTTAGGAGGGAAACCAGAGAATTGGTTCTATTCAGTAACCTGATTAACATTCTAGCTTGACTGCTAGGCAGAGAGAGCAGTGAATGTTTTTACCTTTTCCTGTTCCATTCTAGTAAATTTTTAATCCACTGTCTTCTTAGACTCTGCTAATATATATTATCATTAATTTGTTTTTGAGCTAAGTAACCAGTTAGCTATTTTTAATTTGTTCTCATTTTTAATGGAATTTATTAAAATGCAGTATCAATGAATAGATATTTCTGAACGTGACACAAAACTGATGTGTCAATAAAATAGAAACAAAGTAATTAAAACAATAGAAGAATGTATACTGCAAACACAAAAAGCATAAAGTGTAATAATTCATTGTATTAGAGATCATTTTGATAGAGAAAAAAATTCAAATAGTCAAAGATGGCAAATTAGAGAAGTTATGAGAAGAAAAGAATAGCATATAAATAGGGAAGATTCAATACAGAAAAGTTATCTAACCTAGCATATATCATCAAGGGTCCTGCAGAGCATTAATATTGGATGGTTTTTCCCAATAGTTTTATAATCAAGGGAATTTGAGAAATTCTTCTTGTTATATTTCTCTCTTAAGAATCATACTACAGCTAATATTTCTGAGAAAAATTAAATTAATTGGACTGGTATAATTGTTGTATTTTGTTAAAATATACATAACAAAGTTTACCATTTTAACCAATTTAAAGTGTTCATTGCCATAACATTCACAATGTTGTGAAACCATCATTATCATCTAGTTTCAACTAGATAGCTTTATTATTTTTATTCTTATAAAAAATAGACAATGCAACATTTTCATTCAACATATTTCACAAGTAAAATTCAGTGAAATCAATTATGTTGTGTAACAATCATCAATATCCCTTGCCAAATTTTCCATCATTAACTTGACCATAAATCAATTTTCTTCAGAAACATCCATGAATTCATTTTAGTGTTCCCAGATAAAACTTTCATGGAAACATTGACTTAAACTAATCCCCCTCATTTAAAAAAATTAAAAAACATGTTCTTGAGAAATTATTTCAATTGAGAAAAAGAATGCTTTGCTCAAAATCACATAAGTAGATGGTGACAAAGCCAACATCTCACCCAGATTTTTAGGAACAAGGCTTCTTCTACTTCAAGATATTTTTCACTTTACTCAATTTAGGTAGCCTGGGCCTGATGACTCAGTAATCTATAAATACTACAATAAATTTTATATATGATAACTCAAGGTTTCCACAATTACCTTAAATATATATTTTTAAAGATACACTTTGAAAGGTTATGCTATATTTGTTTTATGATTCTCTCATTGTATTTTTCTTATGAAAATTATCATTGTAAGAACTCTCTCTAATTTATACTATTCTATTCTTAGGTCTTTTTAAGATTGTGGCTGATAAAACTCCATACCTTACTATGGAAGAAATTACAAGAGCCAATCATATTGGACCAAACAGACTAGGACATCCTTACTTCTACCATCAGAAGGATATCAAACTAGGGAATCTCATCATAAAGCAAGGTGAACAAATTTTGCTCAATTCAGTTGAAGAGATCAATGGAAAAATGATGGTGAACTGTGAAGTTGTCAGAAATCACCAAAAACACTCATTTACTTTGCCTTTGTCTCAAGAAGGAGGCTTTTATGAGTGTGAAGATGAACATATTTATACCTTAAAGGAGATTGTTGAATGGAAGATCCCCAAGAACAGAACAAGAATTGTGAAGCTTACTGGCTTTTCAAATGAGTGGAATTTAACAAATCCATTCCCTAAAGGCTTTTATGGCTCTCTTATCCTTAAGCCTGTTTACGAAATTCAAGGTGTGATGAAATGTAAGTATCCACTGAGAATAATGCTCCATGAACAGGAGCATTATAAGCTTTGGTAAAAACAAAGGTTTAAAACTAGTTTAAGGAGTGTGACTGACTGTCCCCAGCTCATGTGTAAAACCTGCTGAGCTGGATTCTTCATCTCTAAATAAATAAACCACATATTTGTTACAAGAATAAAATTGGATAATGTATAGAAATGTATGTGCTGCATATACATATGCATATATATAGAAAATATAAACTCATAGATCCACATGCAAAGTGCTGTAACTGTTAGGTACAGTTAGATTTAGATACGAATTCTTTTTTTGTCACTATCAGTTAAACATGGTCAGAAAAGAGATATCAGGTTTTTTTTAGAAGAAATTATGTTTTATTAGAAAGAGACTTTCATTTAATGGAGGTGACCAACAAAAGATGTAAGAAAACAAACTTCTTTAACGTGTTTCTTACTTTATTCTTGTGATTCCCCCCCTCCCCCCAATTAGACACTGATCACTGGCAATAACTCTTCTCATTAGTTAGGAGTTCCTTCTTACTTATAGAAAATGAAATGGGAAATTAATTCACACATGTTTGTCATAGCGATCCTTATAAACTTTCCAAGTTGTGGCTGGAGGTTTGAATCACCAACCTTGAGATTAACTTATCCTACAGCTTCACACCAAGAAAGTTACATATTAAATACACATCAGTGTGTCTTAATATGTAATATTCATAAAATAATTTGCATTTTAAAGTACGACAATATAGAGAGAACATTGCTACCTTAAAGTAGGGGGAGGGGAAATTTCGGCTCATGGGCTAAGATATCATTTGATCTGGCCCTGCCAATGCAACTGTGGTGTCAGACATCACATTGTTGTTGTTATTGTTGTTAAGTGCAGTAGAGTTGGTTCCAACTCATAGCAACCTTACATAGGGTTTCTGAAGAGCAGCTGGTGAGCTTGAACCACTGACCTTGCAGTTCAAACCAACCTTGCAGTCCAGTGTATTATAGCACAGCGCCACACCAGGACTCCAGCCATCACATTAGGGGTGAGTTAAGTGAATGTTTGACAAAATACATCAGGTTGATTATTAAGTTGATAATTTTGTATAACCCGCAAATGATGTTATAAATGTTGACAGAAAAAAATGTTCCCCACTATAGCCTAAAGATATGAGTGCCTTCACTTTTCAAGAGTGTGGTATGAAAACTGGGCAAATGGTGGCCAAGAATTTCTAAATTTGGAGTCAGTAGTCCTAAATTGTTATTCTTAGGCCATAACTTAATATGCAATGGCTTTGTGTGAGCCATTTAAATACTCCAAGTCGATAGGAAAAAGGGGTTTATGATACTCTTCTGTCTACTTCTTGCTGTTGTTTTAAACATAAAATAAGTCTCTGTATATAATACACTTTGAGAACATAAAATAATATGCAAAAATTTGGTTGAAAGGTACTTCCTTCTTGTTGTTAGGTGCTGTTGAGGCAGTTCCAACTCATAGCGATGCTGCTCACAATTTGCTAATCCAACCCATTGGCGGGGGTTGGGGGGGTGGGGGGTGGCTTCCTCTTTTTCGCTGACCCTTCACTTTACCAAGCACACATCCTTCTCCAGAGACTTGCCAAATATAAGAGACAAAGTCTCACTATTTTGACTTCTAAGAAGCATTCTGGTTGTACTTCTCCCAACACAGATTTTTTTTGTTCTTCCGGCAGTCCATGGCACTTTTTTTTATTTTTAAGTGTTTTATTGTGAATTATGTGATAGTTTACATGGGAGAAC